CATAATAAAATAACATTATCTTATTTGAAAAAACGACGAGAAATTTGAGAATGATACCCGCATATCACGAATAATTAATAAGATAACATGTAATGAGCTAGGACACCATCGCTTACTTGGTAAACCACGCTTCCTTTTTATACTATATGATTTAATCAAAGAACTTCATTTTCTATTATAGACAATTAACTTCGGAAGTTGTAAATTTTTTTATTAACCAATGATAGCATAATCTTTTTTCCTTTCATTATGCCTTATTTGTGTGGAGGGCCTATGCCTATACCAAAAACAGGACTATTAACTTGCGGAGATCTCGGAAATTACAGCAATGCTTCCAAACAGCCGAGGGTAGATACCTGCATGTAGAACGATTGCATATCATCCTTGATTGCTTCTTTGAGTTCTTCCACATCCTCATCAGTAACAACGACATAGGTACTAGTGCCAGCAATGACATGTTCAACGCCCTGCATAATGATAACTAATAATTTATTTGTGCAGGTATCAGATACATTAGAGAAGCCAATATATTGCTAAGTTTCAATCACCTGTGCATCGGTCTTGGTACCCTGTGCCTCTTTTATCTCTTTGTGCTGCATATACGGCTCCCCAGTCCCTACAGTCATCCAACCAGAAAGTCCCATGAAAGTTGTTTCCTAGCCTTAACTTGTGCTAATATCCATTCGTATTAAGAGAAAACAAAGGACATCATCAAATCATATTAACATCCATAAAGAGCAATACATAGGATGTCAGTACAAGAGAATTCTATAACCTCCATCCAGACAGAGAGTTTAAACAGATATGAGAGAGAAAACCATACTTTCACTCGGATTTCCTTCATAGGGTGAGGTGTCCACGTTGCTCTTATATTGGTCGCAATAGACCCCTGAAATAAGACCTTAATGAAGTAATACTAAACACCCAACCACCAAACTAACTTAAGAATTTATTATAATCTTTACAAAATTAATATATATGTTAAATAGCACCGATTAAGTTATATAACAAGAATAACAACATCGGCGTCATTAAAGGTGAACCTTGTAGGGCAACGTTGATAATGGTATTTTTATAGAGAGTAGCTAGTGTTGATAATGGAAAGCAGGGAACCTCGGTTTCAAATGAAAATAGAGTACTCTCTGACTTCAACCAAGTCTCATCGCATTTCCCAGATCGAATTTCTACTTCAAATTCGCACGTTTCTTGAGGATGATAATGGCCATTTTCAAGAGGATGATTCGTAGGAGGATTTCTCCATTTCGCCAGAATTTGTATTCGGGTACCATCGACATCACAACGTCGCTTGTTCGGATGGCTCGAACAACGCGGCCTTGAAAGTTGAAAGGATATTGGATCAAGCTTTTGTCAATGCGAACTCGATTTTAGAAAAAGAGAAAAAGAACCGCAATAGTAAGGGATTTGACAACATGATAAGGGTAATATTTTGAGTTAAAAAATTGTAAGGCGGGAACACTATGATGGGTCAGCGGCATGGCTATGGAGTTGACATGCGAGAAGCTCCGAAGCTAGTTCCGACACAAAATAATCGATCAAAGCTTTGAAGAAAGTGAAGCTGTTGAAGCCTGAAGGTAATGGCGAGGGTGAGTGGATGTTTGGCCGCTGAATGAGGAGAGCCAGACGTTGGAGAGGGTTTGGGAAGGCTGGAGGGAATCAACTGAATCATACCGGACAGTCGTCGGGGTTGGGCGTTGAATCTTTGATGACGGTGGTGATGGTTATATTCTTGTTATGTACTTAATCCGTGCTATTTAAAATATATACTAATTTTTTTAAAAGTATAATAAATTGTTTAATTATCTTGGTGTTTGGGTCTTTAGTGTTTGTTATAAAGCTATTTAGTTCGAATCACATGGAAAGTATATTTTCATAAACAAAACGACATCGGTTTAGGTTATTTGAGCATTAAAACAATCGCGCCAAAACGACATTGTTTCGGTCGGCGGAGTGATAATTGCACTTAAAAGTAAATGTTAGTATTAAATTGACATTAAATACTAGATGCTGTAAATGAGTCGGGGCTTAAAGTTTAATAGTATTTGTTGTAGTTTACCCTTAAAAAATGGTGAGAAGTTTATGAATGATATGTGTCACGAATAATTAACAAAATAACATCAATGAGTTAGGACATTATCACGTTAGCTAACGCGACACGATAACATTACCTTTATTTTAAAATCACAAAAATAACTTTGTGATGCACGCCTTTATATTCATTGAAACACAAAAATATGTAAGTAAAACTATAATAATTAATAAAAAACATGTTGTACCTAATTGTAGGAAAAAGAAAATTAAATAGGTTACCTAACAATTAATACATGTGATTTAAAGATTAAATTGAGTAACTTACGAAATCAGAAGGGCAAGACGTGAATTTAACCAAAATAAAATATACTACAATGATCATCATCAGGACCAACGACATGGATGCTAGTGCCAGCAATAACATGATCAATGCCCTGTATAATGATATAAGAAGAGATTAACTAATACTAATTTATTTGTGCAGTTATCAGATGTGATGGAGAAGAAAATGTATTTCTAAGTTCCAATCACTCGACCCTGTGCCGCTTTGATCTCCTTGTGCTTGTTTCGGTAGCTGAATGGTGATGGGGTTCCATAGTATTAGCATCTCCTTGAGAATCAAAATTGAGGTTGGATTCATCACATCATAACATCAGTAATGGTGCAACTCTCTGCATCCACGTAAATTACATGAACTCCACATTTCTTACTTGAAATGTTTTCTCCATTTGAGAGGAGATGTAGAATTGAAACATGCCTCCTCATAATTCTGGTCTTCTTTAACCATATCCTTCCCACATAGAATGAACATGATCACCCCTGCAATCCCAAGCAATTTCCCCCAAAAACAATTCACTTTCGAACTTTTAAAACCACCATCGCCATCATTACCACTGGCGGCTAAAAGTTGATATTCACAGATAAATTGAAGATTTCCAATGCAAATGCGGTCAGTGAGATCGACCACAAGACATATAGCAAACTAATAATCTTCTCCCACTCCTTCTTGTGGATATCTCAAACTTAATGAAGCATTCATACTGATACTCAAATCTATCTGCTGAAATTTTGTTCCCCGGAAAACAAAAACAAATTGGTTTGGGATCAATCGAGATGATCATATCGTGCCATTTCTCCGCTAGGAATTGAATTTGAAGCATGGCATTTGCCTCGATGTTATCGACTGAATCTTGATTCAAGCTGAAGCAATTAGAGAATATCATTGTGTAGTCTTTCACCATCAAAGAATAGAAATTTCGATCAGTGAAAGATACACTTTCTAATGATATGCAACCATGAGTATTCAAGTACTTCAGGTTTGATGGAAGCTCTAAGAGTAATTTGAGGCTCTTGCAATGTAACATTATCAACCGTTGAAGATTATTTGAAGGGTCTGAAGAAAAGGACACTTCTTCTATTTCAGTGAATGATAATTTAAGTGATTCAACATATTTGGGAGTTCAGGAAGTTGGACCAAACTTCTACACGACTTACAGTCAAGGCTTTCGAGGTTGATGGCTCCTAATAGATTAGGGATCTTCCTTAACTTCACGCAAAAAAGAAACGTCGATTTCTCTTAAATTAACAAGATCCTGTACAAAAACATATAAAAATTGTATTACTTGTAAGCATTATCTATTTACTTAATCGCATAACATATAATTATAAAATATTAGATTTGATGATCGTGAATTCACTAAACAATTTTCTTCTTTAAAAAAATAGAATATATTTATTTTAAAAATCTTTTATACTTAATTATACATATTTTTTTCCTAGAAGGAAGCATAAGAGCATATACCTGAAAATCTTCATTCCAGAGTTGTTCCATATTGCCCCCTGATAAATTCAACACTACAAGATTTATTAAAATTTAGTGATAAAGATTTGAAGGGGTAACGCTTCCACTGAAGACACTTTAACTCATTTGGAAGAATATAAAAAAACAATTTACCAAAGTTTAGTATAAAAAAGATACATGCATTCTAGTTAAATCATAAATAAAATGCAATTATATTAGGAAAATGCTTACACTAATTGGACATCATTAAACATGTGTGTGTGAGCATGCGTGTATATATATATAAACTAGTGTGATACTGAACCATAGGACATCATACGAAAGGGCAAAATGAATAAAAATACAAACAACTCTTACTTATTATTGTTGAGCACTGGACACACGTCCTTGGATTCCACAACCTTTTACGCTTTTCAGGGTATTTAGATTCTGATCAACAATATCTTTACCCATTTCTTCAAGCATATCATGCATAGAAATCCGCCCATAAGAATTGATGTCAAATAGGCACTTGCGAGCAAGCTGCTTAGTCCACTCACAGCACCTTTATACAAGCAACTTAGAATTTTTTCTACTTCTTCTTTGATTCCCTTAAAGAAGCATACTACGTCGAGAAATATATCCTTTGTAGTTTATCCAACCCATCAAAGCTACTCTTCAAAATGTGTGAAATTTTGGGTCATCGAACTTGTTTACTTTTTCCACCTCACTTTTCCACTCTTCTATAGACTTTGATATAGCTTAGCACCCAAAATCTTAAGAGCAAGTGGACTGCATCGGCTAACCGTACAAACTCGTAGGATAGATGTAGAAATCAACAGAAGGATTCAACTGCTTAAATGCAGTAATAGAAAAAGTTGAAGAGAATATTCTTATTTACTCTTCCCCTTATGTATTTGGGTAGCTCCTCCATTCTTAAGCACTTGTCTGTCTCTAGACGTTAGAATGATTTTACTTCCATCACCAAAATGTTTAACACCCATCCAGTCTACTTGTTCTGAGTCATTAACGTCGTCAAGGACAACAATTACTCGTTTATTGTTCAGCCTCTCTGTAAGGGTACCCTATGGAAGGGGTGTCTATACGAATTTCTTTGTCCTTTAAAAGTATGGAAAGAAATTCATTTCGCACGGATTCCTTCCTTGTTTTTCTATTTTCTCTCTAACATTTTGAAGAAAGTAACAACTTTCAAACGTGCTAGAGACTTCCATATAAACAACTCAGCAAGGGTGGTCTTGCCAATACCACCCATGCCCCAGAGTCCTATTACTCGACTGTCTTTTTGCTTAATCAGCTCCAAAATCTTCTTTTTCTGACAATCTATTCCGATAAATTCTTCAGAAGCACTTCCAGAATAACTATTCATCAACTTATTTAATACATATTCAACAATATCATTAATGTACTCGGTTTCAGATCTGGCGGATAATGAGAAAAATAAAAGTTAAACCAAAGATAAAGTCAAATAAAGAAGATGAGTAAAAATATAGTTTACTGTCAAATTGGACTCCAGCTATATGCCACCCTTTTAATTTACCGGCTTCAGCAAAGGCAGCTTTCCATCGATTCACTTCATCACGAGGCCTATCTGATTCATGGACATCAAAGGATGCTTTGAAACTGCCACCAAAATTCGAACGTCATAGGGATCGACATGATAAAAGATGGGAAGAACAATTTGACATGAGTTTTCTTGCGGTTCATGATATCGGAGAGTTCAGCAAGCATGATTTTGAAGAAGCATAATCTTTAGACAAAACGATGATGGAGAGTCTCGATGCTTCAATTGCTCGAGAAGTGCAGGTGAAATACGCTCCCTCTTTCCAATACTTCTTCATCGAAGAAGACACCAAATCCTTCCCCTTCAAAGCTTGGTGTAGATGAGAGGTGAAGTTAAGACGTGTGTCTTCACCCCTAAAGCTCAAGACACTTGATACTTCATTGGAGGAGAAGAGGAAGAAGAAGCCATGAAAGGGTATTGATTGAAGCAAAAGAGAGAAAATAACAGCGGAGCTTGGCTTGGCTTGTTTTATTCTGGTAAGAAACAAAGAGTAACATTATTATTGGTGCGTGGAAGAGACTGGACGCGTTTTCGTTAGACTTGTAGCATTGGGGACGACTTTCTTATACTCTTTACCAACAAAATAAATGAGCGGAGGTCTTGAAATTCTACCATATATATGTAGAGAATTTTATAATATCCTTTATATATTATTTTTTTAATTAAATTTTATCTTTATTAAAAATTAATTTTTTTATAAATTTATTTATTTCAGATCGGGTCAGATCAATTTTGGATTTTATCTTAAAAAGACGAGTTAAGTTTATATAGGGAAAAATCATCCTAAACCGGAGTCGGGATGAATTTCGGATGGAGGGTGCCTATTTTTCGGATCAGGTCGAATCAACCTAACAACTGCATGAAGCATAGAATAACTTGATGAGATCCTTTGCTAATGACCTTGCATGTTTCACATTGTGGGTCGGCTTATTATCACATTAAAACCCACAAGCTTGCTTGATCGTAAACAACTGAGATAGCTCTACAAAAAGCCTTGTTTCATGCCAGAAAACTGCATTACACGAAGCTCAATCAAGCACAACACTCAACAATACAAATTAGACCTTCCAAAACGTTCACAGTTAAGCCTCGCTCTAGATTTATTTCCACACCATCCTCAAACTCTGTGAAATACCACCAAGCTTAGAACAAGAAATGACACAACATTCATTCCTTTATCAGCTAAACAACCATTGTTTTGTTGCTTCTACAAGCATGAAAAAACTGCATCTTTCCAAATTTACGGCTCAATTTATCAATTTCCGACAACAAAGTCAACCAAAGAAATACCACTCAATTCGAGAGAATCAATCCGATCCTTAGACCTTAATTTTTCGCACCCTTGTTGCCTTGGATATAAGAGCCTTCGAGATTATGAATAGCTCTTCTCCCACCCTTCATATTAGAAAAATGAACAAAACCGAATATGTTGCCCCCTTGCTTCTCTTATTGGGAATGAAAGAGTCCACAACCTCACCATATTCGTCGAAGATAAGCCGAAGCCCTTTGAAATGGAGATATTTTGGGAGATTGAAGACAATCAACGCGACACACTTCCCCCCTTGAAAACCTACTCTCCGAATTCACCATGATTAAGAAGAATTAGATGTATTGCACTGTTAAAATTAAGACTAAATTGAAATAATATGTAACTACTAAGGACCAAATGTATACATATTCAATTTTATTAACTGTCACGTCAGCACTTCCGTCAAATATTAATAGCGAGATGTTATATTGAAGCCAATTAAATAGTTAAGTGGTCATATTGACGAAATTTTAAAAATTATGGTTAGAATTAGTTGCTCGATTAGTTTATAATTAACTGGTCGTTACATAATATGTGATAACATTGAATGATTTTCATTTAGAATTGAATTTTTAGTAAATTTTAGTCACTTTATTTCTTTAGTCATTGTAAGAGATTGGCATATTTATTATCAATGTGCTTAGAAAGGTGTATTTCAAGTATGGGGAGTGACTAGAAAAATACAAAAATGATGTGTGTTCATATTGGTGATCCTTGATTCTCATGGACCTAGGTATTGCATCATTTTTCAAAGATATATATCAATACGAAGAAGCTCATGAGTTCCTGCAATGCATGTTACATAGGATTGAAAGCTGTTGACTAAAGCCCATGAATGATTTGTCCTTTGTTGATGATTGTCTCGTTAAGAAGGTTTATCGTGGTCGCCTGGTTAGCATAGTTTAAATGTTGCAACTTGATCATGGGTCGTTATTGTAATTTGTAAAAGATGTATGTTAGTATTGTAATTTATGTGAACCTTTCTCCTTTAATGTAATTTATAAAAAGTTGTGGTATCTATTATAATTTATAAAAGGTTTTATCCTTAATTTTAATTTATAAAAAGTTTTGTCCTTAATTTTAATTTTTTAAAAAGTTTTTGTCCTTTTACTAAAATGTTTTGTCTTTTAGTGTAATTTATAAAAGTTTTGTCCTTAAATGTGATTTATAAAAATTTGTGTTGTATATTGTAATTTATAAAAGTCATTTATTGTAATTTTACACTTTTTATTTATTATTAAAAAATTATGACAATACTTTTTTATCACTAATACGATAAAATTATTATATTATTAGTGACGCTTTATATTATTTGATGATATAATTAATTGTCATTGAATTTAATTTTTAAGGTGACGTAATACATTAATGTCACTATGTATTTAATAATACGTGACGAAAATGTATATATCGTCATATTTGACATTTAATGATACACTTAGTATGACGTCATCGTGACGTTAAATTTTACGTCACAATATAAAGAGTGACGTAAATGTAAGTTTCGATAATGATATTTCAGATGCCATATATAAACAAATTTGTTGTAGTGAGGTAAATTACACCCTTACTCACTGAACTTTACTCTCTCCTATTTCATCATCGAACTTTCAAATTTTTAATTTGCTCACTGAATTTTAGACATTAAACTTTTTGTCACCGAATCTTGATTCAAGCATAAACAATTAGAGGATAACAAGTAAAACACACCATAACCACCACCCTCATCATCATCTGAACTGTATTGATATAAATTTTGATCTGTGAAGGGTACATTTTCTAACGATGTGCAGCCATGTGCATCCAATAACCATAGATACGGTGGAAGCTCGGATAAGGCTCTCGCAATGATCCACTGCCAAAGATCCAAGGCTTTTACATCTCATGATTGGTGAGGACACATCAACTTCTACTGAACCAGAGAGGGAGACATTGCATTCAAGCTTTTGAATACTTGAGCTGCTCATATGTAAGAACCGAAGATCACTTAAAGAGTAGACAGACAAGTCCACCTCTATAATTCGAGTCCCAGATAAGTCTAATTCTGTTAAACTTCTCGAGATTTCTGCGTATTCGGTGACAGGACAATGACTAAGATCCAGCCAATGAAGGGATTTCAGCTTCGAGATATTGCTTGATACATATTTGACCCTTGAGTTCTTCATAAACAATGTTCCGAGTTCGACAAGATGCTCAATTGAATCAGGCACTTCTTCAATTCAAGTTTTTTCTAATTTCAAATAAACAAAATTATTCGGAAGCTCTGGAAACTTGCTGAGACTATAACATTCCTCAAGCTTAAACCACTGCCAATCAAGAGATGACAAATGATTGAAGCAAGGAAGTTCAATCAAACTTTCACACCCTTGAAGGTAAAGATTTTTAAGGTTGATGGCCCTTGCTAGACTAGGGATCTTCCTCAATTTCTTGCAATACAGAAGGTCAAGTCCCCTTAAATTAACAAGATCCTGCGAAATAAGAATATGAAATAATTATATTAACTCATAATATCATCTATCATAATCTTTATCTAAAGAAAAATACTATTGGATGAAGAAAGTATGAGAGCATATACCAGATGGCCATCTTCATTCCAAAGTTGCTCCATGTTGCCATGTTGTAATCTCAACACCACAAGATTCTTCGGATTAAAACTTGATGGTAAAGACTTGAAAGGGTAAAAGTCCCAACAAAGACACCTTAGCTCTTCTGGAAGAGATACATTATCAACTCCATCTACACGTAGTTTCTCTTTCCAACTGTCTCGCATATGATGAGGAACACCAAAGAGAATATATTTAAGATTATGCATCTTCTCAAAAATGGTAGAACATAAATGTAAGTTATCATTTTGAGTCATGTATAACTTTATTACTACAATAAGATCAGTCCCCTGACACAAACAATTTATCAAATATTAGCATAGAGAAATTTATGGGCATTTTATTAAGGGTAAAGAACACAATTGGTCCCCCTAACTATAGGATATTGTTTTGTTGAGTCCCCCGATTATTAAAAGTTACAAAATAATCTCCCGACTATAGGGAGTTGCTTTGTTGAGTCCATCGATTTTTAAAAGTTACAAAATGGTGACCCGACTATTCATTATATTTCAAACTCATCCTTTTCCGTTAACAAATTAACGACAGTTTGAGCTGGACGTTAACCTGCTGGTTGTTAACTGAAATATGATAAAATCTAATCTCATAAACTCAAATGACTATTATAATGTCCGCCTCAAACAATTGTTAACTAAAATTGATAAGTTTGGAACATAATGAATAGTCGGGCCATCGTTTAATAATCGAGGGACTCAACAAAGCAACTCCCCATAGTCGGGGATTATTTTCTAACTTTAATATTTCAAATGACCATCATATCTCAGTCAGTATGTTAAAGTCCAACTCAAACAATCATTAACGAAAAATGACGAGTTTGGAACATAATGAATAGTCGAGTCACCGTTTTGTAACTTTTAATAGTTGATGGACTCAGCAAAGCAGCTCCCCATAATCGAGGACTCAACAGAATAGTATCCTATATATAATCGGTGGACCATTTGTGTATTTTACCCTTTTATTAAATAATTCTTTTAAAAAAATAAAAATAATTATATTTGAGTAAAAAATAAATACAATTCACACTTTATTATATTTGTGTACTTGATACATCTTTAGAAATCCATAACCTACTACGTTGTCCAGGATCTCTAGATTGTCGACGAACAATGTCCTTCCCCATCTCTTCCAACATATCATGCATGTTAATATAATAAGAATGCAAGGTGTTAAGTAGGCATTTGTCTACCAAGTTGTTTATTCCACTCACACCAACCTTATAACAAGAAGTAAAAATTTTAAGAATTTCTTCTACATCTTTCTAGGGTTCCCCTTTAAAGAAGGTTGCAATATCAAGGAATATATTCTTTACTAACTCATCTAGCCCTTCAAAGCTACTCTTCAAAATCTGTGAAAATTTCGGTTCAGCATATCCCTTTAGTTTAGTCACCTCGTCTTCCCACTCCCTTTTAGACTTTGTATACATTTTAGAACCCAAAACTTTAAGAGCAAGTGGACTGCCTTGGGCTTGCTCCACAAACTTGTTTGATAGATCTCGAAAATCAGCAACGGGATTCGACTGCTTAAATGCAATTGTAGAAAAAAGTTGAAGACAGTCGTTCTTGTTTAACTTGTCTACTTCGTGTATTTTGTCAGCTCCCCCATTCTTAAGTACTTGTCTATCCCTAGATGTTAAAATGATTTTACTTCCACAACCAAAATGTCTAACACCCAAGAAATCTGTGTGGCCCGGGTCACTAACATCATCCAGCACAACAAATACCTTTTTATTGTTCAGCTCCTCCATTGATTTGTTTTGCTTTAAATTTGATTCGAATGGATTGGGAATGACGTGTTGATGACTAAATTGTGATTAAATCAAATAGGAGACCATTAGGAGAAATGTTGCAAAGTTTCGGCCCAAGGAAGAATTACAAAATTTCCTAATGGTTTGGATTGAATGTATAAATAATTCTAAGTGCTTGAAATGATGTTTGGAACCAAATTGGAGCTTTGTTAGACTTTGAGGACCTTTTCGCTTAATATGATAAATGGAAGGGTTAATGTGCAATTGTTGGCAAATTAAGGTCCTATGCTGAAATTTAGTGTAGAACAGTAAATTAGACTGATTTGGAAGACTTTATAGGTTTAGGACTCAATTGAAAGTTTAAAGAAAGTTTGATGGTGAAATGATGAAAGTATCGAATTAAAGTATATTGGATAAAGGATGAAATGTTAAATGAAATAAAGTTGATTTAAATTAAGGGAGAGAAATTAGTTTTATTCATATGATTATTATATTAGTCGAAGTACTAATTTGTATTTGAAATTGTATATGTCGAGAAATCGATGCCGTGTATATCATGATCGAAAACAAATACCAAGCGAACTAAAGGAAAAGGATTAAGTACGAGAATACAATGAAAATAACATTAAAGAGTAGTGAGGCTATATAAGAGTGTGACGAAACTTTCTTTTATAATAGATAATACGAGGACGACTAGCGATGAGTTAATCTCGATCGTTTTTATTAAAAAGGTTTTTAAAGTAGTATTTGAGCATGTATTTTATTAAGTTGTTTTATTACATAATATATGTTTGAGTTGGGTATGAACTATCCAATACAATATTTATGAGATTTTATTTTATTCGAATGTCTGGTTATTTTATGTGTAAAATAGTATATGGTTTTAATAAGCCCATTGTATGAAAATGAGAGTTAGTGTACAATGGCATGCCATGAGGTGGAGTGAATCTGAATATGTTTGTGATATGGCACCAGTGTGGATCACCCATGGTTGACTCCGCATACCCTAGTGGTGCACGAGGTGGAGTGATTCGATGTTTTTGATAAGCTTTATATGTGCATTATATGGCACCAAAATGGGTTACTCGGGGTCTAGCTTAGGTGCCTTAGTGGTACACGAGGTGGAGTGACTTGGTGCAAGTTGTTCTGACAATAAATTTGTATATAGCACGTTCACTCGTTATCTGACTCGCGTATCGCATATTCTCATGATAATACAGTGGGCAAAGTAATGATCTAATCTGGAAATGTTTTTTTTTTAAATGGAAATGTATAAGTTTGAAAATAATTTTAGTACGAATGATTTATGAAAATTCTTATAATGTTGTTTTTAATTCGAATATTTGCTTGATGTAAATTGTATATGTTTTATTCCAGTAAAATTCTATTGATATGATTAATTATATTTGTTAAACACTTTCTTTATTTTATGATGTCGTCTCACTAAGTGGAAAAACTTAACATATGATTGGTTCACACGTACGTAAAGCAAAACCAAAGAAGTAAGGAATCAGGTTAGACATCTTACATTTTGAAGACCCTTTATGATATCCAAAATCAATATGACCTTTTCTCAATGATTTTGATATTCATAGTTGACATGTATATAGTTTTATTTTGATGCTCTGATTTGAACTTGTTTGAACTCTTTTGATTTTGTGATAAATGAATCGCATTTTAAATACTTTATATTATAGTTTTAAATTGCAATTACTTATTTAAATGTCGATTTTAAATGAAACAAAATTTTATCGAATTTCAATCGTAGATATTTTATACACTTGATGTGACACTTCTACCTCGTATTCGAGATAAGGTGTTACAATAGGGTTCTTTTCTTTTCTTTCTTTCTTTTTTGAAAATTCGGGTGACTAATGTTGTACTTTACCCATAAAACGTCATATCACCACGGTTATTTTGAACACATCATTTTCTATTAGCAAAAGGGTAAACTACAAATTTGATAACTAAAATTTAATGTCTCTCCTAATACACTCATTATACTTTAAATCTTTTTATTTTATTCACTAAACTTTATACAATAGTTTTTTTTATGATTTAACCATTTCTTCACTAACATTGTTATGAATGTGCTTTTATATAGATGCAAAATGACATCGTTTGTGAAAACTTTATTTTTTTTAAAATGATATCGTTTTAAAGTCGTTAATTATTTAACGACAGAGTGACAAAAAACATTTAATATATTAAGTTTAGTGAAAAAATTAATATTTTTTAAAGTTCATTAAATAAAATAAGAGACATAATAAAGTTTAATGATAAAATTTATAGTTTACCCTTAACTAACTATTATCACTTATAATATTTTTCTTTCCTTTTCTTGGGTCCCAACAGAAGCAAACAACCTACACTTCATTATCACCGCCCCTGTCCCCCGTGACTTGGCTTTTTATGTTTTAGTGGCCCCCGCACGACTAGGAAAATAAGAGGCTGACGTGGTCTTTTAAGCAAAATTATGATGGTTTAATTATGGTTTTAGTCTCTTTATTAGTTTAAAATTTAGAATCTAACACCATTAGTTTAAATTGTTAAATTAATTAATTAATTTTGATATTGATAAAATATAGTGGTTTAAATTGACGACTTGAAATTATATTTACAATATTTAGTTAAAATTAATTAATTTTTTTAACTGACAATGGTCTTACATAAATTATGTAGATATAATTATTCGAATATAAATTTTTAGAAAGAAAACACTCCCTTTTTATCATTGATGTCGCATAATGATTCATATATTTATCTTTTAAAAATTTATTTAAATATTTTAATATATTGAAAGTAAACTTTAGTAAATTTGAATATTTAATCCGATTTTGATTTAGACAATCTAAAATTAATAAAAATAGATTTTAAAATAAATTTACAGATTTAAGTTTAAATTTTACAGAAAATAAAAAATATTTTTTAGTTTAATTTTTAAATAAAAAATTAAATATCAATTTTTAACTTAATAAGTAAAAATAAATTAGGCGAAAATAGAGGAAAAGGTAATCATGGAATTATAGTTAAATCAACATTTCAATAATCAAATTATTAAAATTATTAAATTTATCAAATTATTAGAAAACAATCAATGAGAATTAATATGTTTTATTAATTTAAATATTTTAATAACATTTTTTAAAAAAATTGATGAAATTTAATAATTTTTTAACAATTTGATACAATTTAATGATAAATTTATAACTTTTAAAAACTTAATAGATAAAATAATCATTTGATTATACTTTAATGACCTTTTATATATTTTATCCAAAAAATAAAATAAATGACTAACCTAATTAAACCAAACATCTCAAATGACAACAATTAATGGTATTCTAATAGCACCTTGACGTCCGTCTTTTCCTCCTTTATATAGCAAATTCCAGGGTACTTTAACCTTTAATTACACCATTTTTGTGGAAGAAACATATTCTTCTCTCTCTAAAATTTTCCTCTCCCTCTCTCTCTCCAAACAACGCTTCCATCGAATTTTTCTCCTTTCGAGCTCTTCGATCTTCACGCTTTTAATCACGTATATCTTTTCGTAAATCGAATCTATAGTTTCTTAATCAATCGAAGAATTGATTAATCGTGGTGTTTTTGTTCTGATTGTTTGATTTCTAAGATGTCTGATTCTAGAAACGGAGAATTTGTCGACGATCGCGTGGATCGAAACGACGACGAGTCAATCGAATCGTCATACATGTCATCCTCGATCAACGGCGTTGTTGCGACCTCTAACGTTGGATCTGGAGCAACAACGTCGAGACAGAACGGTGATGTGAGGAACGGAATCGGACTCACGGAACGGTTAACGGACATATTCGTGGAGGAGAACGACGGAGATTTGTTGCTTCAACAAAGCTATCGAGAGGATAGGGTGTTCCAGTGGCTACAGGCTTTGGATATGCAAGTAATCGGCGCATGTCGAACCGATGAAAGGTTAAAGCCTTTTCTGAACGTCAATTCCTCAAACGGCGTTGCCGAGGATCGATTGTTGGCACATTTGAGTCAGGTATATTGATAAATCTGAAGTTTATGTTGTTTATCCTTTTTAATCGAACTGTAACATGAAAAATTAGCTCAAATCTGTATTTGCTTAGTAAAATTTCCGAATTGGAGGATTATGTGTGTTTAATTTGATTTGTTTGCATAAATTTTCAGCACTTTGAGCCATCGGAAGTTGGTATGCTGGCGAGGTGCTTTTGCATACCTTTGGTTTCTATTCGAGTGGGGAAAATCAACAAACAAGGGATTCGTTTCCAGCCTACTGCTGTAAGGTAGTTGAATTTTTACTCTTATCGGCGGATTTATCATAAATTATCCTGGTCGGGATATCACGTTTAGTCTATGGGTTACATGTTATCCTTTTTGTTGCAAACCATTAGCATTTATCCGTAACACACAGCCATATTCTTAATTTTTTAAAAATTCTGTAGAATTTTTACAGTTTGGTCTCTCTAGAAACTAGTCTTTTAGTTTTTTTATTCTTTTTTCATTTAAATTTGGAATTATCAAATTAGTTAGTTACTCTTTAGTTTGGATATTAAAGACCAATTATAGATATAGCACATTTATTCCTAGGTTTTTATCCATAATTCATATTCATTAATGATACTATTGTAATGATCTTATTCCTTTGATCTTTTATGATCCTTAAGCATATAGCACACTGGGAATTTACCTTGGATTACTACAACTCTTTTCTGACCATTTAAGGTTTAGATTTGAAATTATCATATTAGTGAGCTAATGCTTACTTTGAAATATTCAAGACCAATTATGGATACAGTACCCTTTTCCCTAGTTTTTCAACCATAATTCTTATTCATCAGTGATACCTTTGTAATGGTCTAATTCCTTTGATCTTTCATCGTCTTTAAGCATATATCATTTTGGCAAATTAACTTGGATTTCTACAACTCTTTTATCCCCTTTGTGTCATTGTTCTATGTTGAGCTATTTCTTAATTGTTGTGACTGTTTCTCTTT